GATGGGGACAAAATAGAGCCGCCGTGGGAGCAGTCCCAGCCCCGGTGAGCGCGGGGGCGGGGGGGCTCTCGGGGAAGGGAGGACCCGGGGGGATGGGATGGGACTGGACGGGAAGAGCCCCGGGCAGGGGGGGGCTAGATGCACCGTAGAGGATGAGATTCCCGAGGGGGATGACGGCGGTGCGCCCGCGAGCTCGAGACGCCCAGGAGGCACGGCCCCGGTGTGCGGAGGGGTGTCGGGCCGTGGTGCTCCCGGGACCAACAGGTCCCCCACTGTGTGCAGGAGAAGTGCATGGACAAGCCGGGTCCGAAGCTGGACAGCCGGGCCGAGACGTGCTTCGTGAACTGTGTGGAGCGCTTCATCGACACCAGCCAGTTCATCCTGAACCGGCTGGAGCAGACACAGAAGTCCAAGTCGACCTTCTCAGAGAGCCTGTCCGACTGAGTGGGACCTGCGCCCCGGGGGACACCGGCCAGCGCCCTGCGAGGCTGGGCCCTCCGCTGCGCTGGCTCCCGGTCACTCTGCCGCCTGAATGAGCCAGGATCAGCTCTGGGGTTTAGGATTTAATTAAATGCAGTCTTGGGGAAGTTGCAGCCAGATGAGAGCCCATGACAGAGGCACAGTCACTCCTCCTCAGGGTGACGCGCTGCCAGCAGCTGTCTTTGCACTGGGACTCCTGGGCTACCGATGCTACGTAGGGAGCATTTGGCACGCACCCGCTCAGCTGAAAGGAGGGGTGGTGATGCTCGCATCAGGGGCTGATGTGAATCTCAGCCCTGGGCGAGACCAGCCTGTGACCGCTGCCTTAAACAGTGCTGCACAAAACAAACCCTCCTGGGTAGATGCTAACAAGCCCTGCAGGCGCCATTGCTGTGCAGTCCGGCACAGGTACCCTTAGTGAGAAGAGTTTGTTGAGCACAGTGACCATCCCACACAGTGTCGCTACTGGAAAATACTTTCACACTTCCATAGGTAAATCGTTCATGTGGCCAAGTGACAAATTTTCAAATTGCAGCACAACTCTGTCAATACTGACTTGCTCCATTAACTGCTTTCCCCTGGTCAATGTAATAAATATTAACTGGGTCAATTTTTAACATGAGATTCGCCTTTGTTCAGGTAGATGACCACTGAGAATTGAAAATCTGACCTTCTTGTCATTCTCCTTCCTTCCCAGTAATCCTGTTTATTGCAAAATTAGTAGGGAGGGGGCATAATTGTCTTCTGGCTAGAAGGTCTGCTCTGAATTCTGATTTGTTGCTCAACTGATTTGGTCCCATGAATCAAACTTGTTTCTGGGAGAGGCTGTGGCCTTTCCTCCTCATCCCCAAAGGGTTAACAGCTCCTGCTGTCCTGTAAAGGAGTAGTTTCTCTAGAGAAACTAAATGCAGGAAATAAGTAACCAGCTACTTTATAACCTCATGCACCTTTACCTGCGGAGATCAGGGGAGGAAGGCCTATGGCTGCACCTTCTGGACTTCTGCCCCCAGGACACAGAGAGGAGCTTCTAACTGGAGAAACAACAAACTACTGATCCACCCTCTGGAAAGGCAGCATAGCATTTCAGCAGTGTTTACATACAGCGTGGCTCTGGGAAGCCTGGAGTGACCCACTGACAGTGGCTTGGAGCTCTACACAGGAACCTGGTAAAGCAGTTTTGCACACATCCCTTTGCTGTGGGTGGCTGGACAGGGCATGTGAGTTCCTAACACGGGTGGCTTGTAGCCAGCAGCCTTCCTGGGAACAAATTCAGGATGTGTTAAACAGAGATATGCAGGTATAAACCCACGTTAGTCAGGACACAGCTGTCTAGTTATCTTTCAGAAACTTACCTCAATAGCTAAGGACTCTTAGGTCACTCCTCTTCCCGCAATAAGCGATTCCCTCTCCTGTCCCTATCTTGAGTTTCTCTCAAGCATCCACACGGTTCTTCCTACCCCTGTAATCCTTCACGCCTTTCAGCACTGGCCCAGCTCTCAGTACAAATGTATCACTAGCCACTCGGTAACTGAACAAATAGTTTTTTAATAGAATACAGTAAGCAGGTGCTTCATCAACCTGCACAGCAGATGTTGCATGAAGAGGTTGGTCCCTCCGTAAGAGCCACAGCAGCACGTGGCAGCACCACTGAAGTTTTCTAGTTTTGGCTGTATTCTGTTCTTGGATGTGAATCTGTAAATAAATTCTAGCAGAGTGAGCAAAACAAGTACTTGACAGGAATTTTTGAATAAATATTCTGGGTATGTCATCTTTAAAGCCAGACATCCATCTTTTCTCCGTGTAATCTTAGCACCATGTTAGATTATTTTGTAACTGTTAATCTTTTAAGTATATTTTTAAAAAATGCTGTGAGGCCTCCCCAAATGCATGGTCTTCACATTCAGTAAGGGTTAGCACTGTGTTAGTGCTGCGGGGCCTCTGCGCCGCCAAAGCCTGTGTCCTGATGTGAGCAGATCAATTCTTCATGTAAAAGAACAGTGAAGAGGCACCAGATCCCAGGAACTGGGCGGTTCCCAGTGCTCCTGTCTGTAGCCGCAGGAGGCTGCTGTCCCTGTCAGCCTCCTGGCAGTGGCAGGTCACCCATCTTGTGCCGGGGGCAGGTAGATGGTAACTGCCAACTCCTGCTTGTGCAGCAGTAGCTAGCAGCAGCTGAGGCAGCATGTTCAACCTTGCAGTGGAGCAAAAAGCTAGCAGTTCAGAGGCTTCCTCACACGCTTTCAGCTTCCTCCTCCTCTGTGCTGCGAGAGCCTTTGTCCTCTGAGGGCAGAAGAGGCTGGTGCTGACATGACTGATGTTTGTCTGCACTCCTCCACGAGGCGTGCAGGTCTGTCCTGCCTTGCTGCAGGAAGAGGGGCAGGAGGTCGGGGGTGAAGGGCATGTCCCTGAAGGCGTGCAGGAGGAAGATGCCGGACACGATGGTGAGGAAGCCACTGATGGTGCCGATGATGTTGTCTAGCACCATGTGTTGCCACTCCTTGAAGAGGATGGCAGAGCACATCATGACTGCTGTGGTGAACAGCACGTAGTAAACGGGTGTGACCACAGATGTGTTGAAGATGTCCAAGGCTTTGTTCAGATAGTTGATTTGGACGCTGATGCAGATCACCAGGCACACCAGGAGCACCCAGCCCAGTGGTTCTTTCAGGACTGGCTTCCCGGAAAACAGTTCTTTCAGGGCAATCCCCAAGCCTTTGACACAGGACACAGAAAGCGAGCCGATGGCGGAGCAGACCAAAACATAAACCAGGACATTGCTCTGTCCGTAACGGGGTCCAGCCACAAAGATAAGCAGAAGGGAGCTCACCAGCACACATACAGCAAATACAATGAATCCTTGGGGAAAGAAGAATTAAAGAGCTCTATCAGAGAACAGTAGCACCAGTGACAGATGTAACTGAACAGCAAGTAGAGATGGAAGACAGGCGGGTAACTGCCCCATCAGTCTGTCTTTTTAGCCTCCACCTGTAGGGACCAGGGTTGGGAAGCAGAGTTGGTCTCCAGCCTGAGCAAAGCTGCAGAGACAACAGCAGCTCTATAGTGCTGATCACACCATCACCCCATAAGTCAGCCTGTCAGGGGATACAGCTGCCCGTGCTGGAAGGGGTAGGAGCACAGCCAGGCTCTACAGCACTAGCGGAGGTGGGGGGCTTGTTGACCAGGAAGACGAGAGGGCACAGCTCTGCAGGAGGCCCAAGAGGGTGGCAGAAAGCTTGGGAAGCCCTAGCTGAACTCTGTGGGCTGTGGTGGAATAAAGAGGAAAGCGCCACATCACAGGAGTGCGAGGTCCTGCCAAAACGCTCCCTCTAATGAGCAGCAGCATCTACCTGTTACTCTGCTTTGCTCTTCTCCCTGTGCTTCCTTCCTCCATCTCCTGTGGCTTATTCTGGCATTCATGCTATTGCCCAAATCATATCCTTGCAACCTGATTCATCCTCTAACATAAATACCAGGACTACTTGATCTTGGGCATAACTCCTTGAATCGCTCATTCATCTTTGCCTGAAGTTCCTCCTCTGTCTTCCCTCAGCCACACCACTGCCACACTCGTGTACAGGAATTCCATCTCCTATCCCAGCACTGCCACAGGCCAACCCCTTCTGCTGACAGCTGCAGCTAATTCCCATGCTCTTCATTTTTTGCATCTATACCTCATAGACAGTACAAAAAAAGCACTCTTGGTAACTGTTAATGACCCAAGTTCTCATCCTTGCTTCAGCACAAACCCAGTGACTTGGGAGCATCACCCAGACTCCCTCTCTGCGAAGTGGGGTTCCTGTCTGCTTCTTTCATCCGGGGTCAAGAGGACCTAACAGTCCTAAAAAGCCATTCTGAAGCTGACATGTCCCCTATGTTTTGAGCTAGTTAATAAGGTGTAAATCCTCTGAGCACATGCATTAAATGCTGTTTGACTGTCACCAATCTTTCATATTTAGAGTGTGGAGACCCCAGCCTTTTCCCACCACAGAAGGCAACCCACAAGCTATCCTGGACACAGGGGAATGTTTCCTCCACTGGTGCGCAGAAGAAGAAACAGCTCAATTACCCTTTAGTTCAGTCCTTCCCAATCTAGCCAAAAGTTGTATCCTACCTTCTACTGTCATTTCCAAGCCTGAAGTTGACAGGACCCCTTTTATTTAAGTACCTGGATCTTTCAGCTTCTCTGCCATTGACTCCAGGCTGGAAACCTCTTCTTCCTGTGGAGCATGGATCACCATCACCGTGGAGCCCAGGATACTCAGGATGCAGCCAATCTTCCCATGAACATTCAGCTGCTCATGCAGGAAGGTGGAAGACAGAACTGCACTGAAAGATAGTAAAAAAAACCCCAAAACCAATTAGGCCAAGGGATGGAGTACCTGAGGGAAGAGACAGAGGAAAGCAGAGCAACTGCTTTCACCACTAAGGTAGGTGAGGTAAGGGTGTTTCTGAGGCTGCTTACCTGACAAGGACACTTAGAGCACCCAGTGGAGTTACCAGCGTTGCAGGGGCAAAGGCATAGGCAGCAAAATTTGCTGCTTCTCCAACTCCCACTGCAAGAGAAACTCTGTCAGGTGAGCATCAAAGTAGGAGCAGTTCAGCATAATACAAGGTTGAGTGCAGTCAGAAGAGAGCCTCAGTTTCCACCTGAGCATCCCATGTTTCTCTGAGGTATGTCATGCAACCAGGAAAGAACAGCACCAGCAAGAACAAGCAGAAGCCAGATACAGGTTCTCTTGGGAAGAGAAGGCTCATGGTTACGCATGGTGATCCTTAGTCACACGTGGCTACGCAGATGAGCAGTAACCACAGGAAAATACTTCCATAATGTCCTCAAAGTTGAAAGGAGTTTTGACCCGTTTCATATTTCTAAGTCCTGTTCTTCTCCTGCAACAGCTTTTACAGCTTTTTAAAGGGTAAATCAAGTACAATTGGTTATTAATGTTGAAAAGTGTAAAATAGAGCAGCTGAAATCGCTGTAGCCTAAACCCACAGTGCTGGATGTGCTGTTATCAACTACATTGTCTGGGCGGGCCATTTCAGAAGCACTTAACCCAAGCCAGTTAGACTAGCTCCTCAACTCCTATTTAGCAGAGAAACCTGGTAATGCATGAGACTTCAGAATATTTTAGAGTTCTAATTAGATCAACAACATCCTCAGACACTCAGATAAAAATCAAGCAGTCAAACAATGATTGTAATAATAAAACACGAAAGCAACTGACAAACACACTCTTAAGTGTGTCTTGCTACAGTTTCAGAGTGGGTACTTACTGCACAGCAGCCCTGCCCACCAAAGCCATTCTTGCAGGTAGGCGTGACCTCCTTGCCCTAAGTGAGGAAGAAAGAGTAACAAGAAACCTCAGATGAAGCTACACAAAAGGCTCGTTATCCTGCCAGAACTGCCTCGGAGAAGCAAGCGGGAGCAGTCTGATCTCCTCTACGTGCAAGGCTGCCATGGGTCTGCCTGTCTTGTCACATATTGGCCTGACCCAGACATGGGCAAGCACTGATTCTTCTACTCTAAAAGCAAAGATTTTATCCCCTGGTTCTCCCGCGTTTGAAAGACAGCAGTTTCAAGAACGCGCGAGTGGTTACAGAAACGTGTCTCTGTTGGCTATCGGCAGTGGCTGGCTATCCCTGTGGAAGAAGTCTGCTTTCAGACCAAAAAGCCCCAGAAGCAAGGAGCGGGGCGGCCAAGGCCCAGCGCTGGCCGGACTGCCCGGGCGGAGGCTGACGCGGCCTGCAGCGTCCGGGGAACGCGCCTCCGGGGGGAGCAGCTGCTGTGACACCCGCGGGGCTTTCTGGCCACGACCCAACGGCGGGG